GTCACGTACAAGTAGAAACTATCCTAGGTAAGGGCCGAGACCCCGTTCATAGTAAAACTATACGACACAAGCAGCTTCACTGTGGTTTGTCATTGATCCAAACATGCAAACCTGCAGTAAATCGTCACATGACGTACATTAATCTCAAAAGATCGAGGACGTGTGTTTTAATAATCCTTAAGGTAATAATGAAGTGTCTTATCCTAGTATATTGTTATCATAAATGACTAACTGTATAGTTACGTTCATATGAAAAAAACATATTGTAGTGTATATTGAAAGTTTCAGAGATCGGGTGAGGTGAAATGAGGTTTAACGTCGCGTTCAAGATTATTACACTTATATAGCAAAGTGTATGCGCGCGTGCGTGCGTGCGTGCGTGCGTGCGAGTATGTGTGCGTGTATAACTTCTTGAACATGTCCGGATTAATGCCGACTATATAGTGCCAGCTCACTGACATACCATGCCGCAGTTTAATATGGATACCCCACTCTGACACAGTATACTGACTCCTAGGCGACCAGTCTTTTTTTTAGCCCCTTAATGCCGAGCGCCAGACAGGGTAACAACAAGTACCATCTATTAACGTCTTGCGGTATGACTCGGATCGTTCCGCCGATTTATTAATCTCCTGGGAGACGGTCTATCCACTAGACCACGGAGGCGGTGGAAAGTCTAAAAAAAAGCACCTTTCTGTATTTGATACTCGCTATAGACAGAACCTACATTGTGTTAATTATAGATCTCCGGCACTGCAAGATAAACATCTTGGTTTGTGTCCACAGAGTGGGCGTATGGTCGTGATACCTGCGCGGGGCCCTCGAGCTTGCAATGAAACCATGGCTCTGGCCAACCAAGACACATATCTCAATTTAGAATCAGACAGTATGTGTATGTATCGGTATTAATTTTGTTTTCTTTACTCTTATTCTGGTTCTGTTTAGTTGTGTTCAGAATAATAGCGCACTTCGCCCAAGGTACAGAACATGCATTTCCTATCGCTTGACTGCCGTTAGTACAGTCCTGTGTATACAGGGGAGTAGGACATGTGACGATTGTGTCTGGGGCCATGGCCACACGATAACGGCTATTTTCCAAGGACACTCTAGCAACAATTTGGACATTGTCGGCTTTCACTGATCAGCTGTGACTTGTTTGCCGTGGCATTTGTGTTGCGTGGTGCTGCATGAACGTGGGGTAGTGTAGAAGGTCGACTTGTCAGTTGTGAGTAGACACAGACAGCATACGTTACTACAAACACAAAACACCTTCATGATATCGAGGCACTTTGCTTCTCACGCTGTGGCGTGTACAGAACCAGACGCTGGTTGACACTTGGTGAGTTTGCATCAGGAAACCGAATTGAAGGCTTAAAACGCTTCTATTGGCGCCTACTGCATGTGTTTCCCGTTAAGGAAGCTTGTTCACTATCTACAATTAGCCACGCGTCCCGCTTCAACACAGACAGCACAACACTGGATCGACCCATTGGCATCTGAGATTTAAACTGTGAACGCAAACATATTATCTATTGTACGTGAGACCATTCAGTATCAATCTGCGACACTCAGGTATACTCTGTTATCTTTACGATGGTGGGGAATATTCTGTTATTTATACGACACTGAGAAGACTATGATATCAGTCTGCTTTGTATGATCCATTATCTACATGACGCCGAGGTATTTTGCGACGCAGGGGTATATTCTGTTATCCGAGACTGAGGTATAATCTGTTTTGTATCAGACTGTAACGTATTATCTATACAACACGGTAAATTATTGTTATATACCAGACAGTAATGTATTATCTATACAACACGGTACAATATTGTAATATACCAGACAATAATGTATAATCTATACAACACGGTATAATATTGTTACATACCAGACAGTAATATATTATCTATACAACACGGTACAATATTGTAATATACCAGACAATAATGTATAATCTATACAACACGGTATAATATTGTTACATACCAGACAGTAATATATTATCTATACAACACGGTATTGTATTGTTATATACCAGACAATAATGTCTTATCTATACAACACGGTATAGTCTGTTTTATATCAGACAGTAATTTTTTATCTCTACAACACGGTATAATATTGCTGTATACCAGACAGTAATGTATTATCTATACAACACGGTATAATATTGTTATATACCAGACAGTAATGTATTATCTATACAACACGGTATTGTATTGTTATATACCAGACAGTAATGTTTTATCTCTACAACACGGTATTGTATTGTTGTATACCAGACAATAATGTATAATCTATACAACACGGTATAATATTGTTACATACAAGACAGTAATGTATTATCTATACAACACGGTATAATATTGTTATATACCAGACAGTAATGTATCATCTATACAACACGGTATAATATAGTTATATACCAGACAGTAATGTATTATCTATACAACACGGTATAATCTGTTTTATATCAGACAGTAATGTATTATCTATACAACACGGCATAATATTGTTATATACCAGACAGTAATGTATTATCTATACAACACGGTATTGTATTGTTATATACCAGACAGTAATGTATCATCTATCATCTCTATGACGCTGAGATACAAATCGGTTATCGTTACGATAATGTGGTTTAATCTGTCATTAATACACCCTGAGGTATAATTTATTGTCTGTAATGACACTGAGGTATAATCTGTCATCATCTTGACACTGAGGTATAATCTGTCATCATCTTGACACTGAGGTATAATCTGTTTTCTAAAATCATGACACCGTGGTGTGATCTGTTATCTATAATGACACAGGTATAATCTGTTATCTATAATGACACTGGGGTATAATATGTTATCGATACTTAGACTGAGGTATAAACTTGTATTTTATAATATCACTGAGGTATAACGTGCTATTAATACGAAACCCGTGAAGATCCGGATTAGAATTGGTCTTGCTTGTCGTAAGAGGCGACAACCGGATCGGGTTGTCAGGCTCGCTGACTTGGTTGATGCATGTCATCGTATCCCAATTGCGTGGATCGATGCTCATGGTGTCAATCACTGGATTGTCTGGTCCAGACTCGATTATTTACAGAACGCCGTCATATAGCTGGAATTTTGCCGATTGCGGCCCAATCCAACAAACAAACAAACAAATATTAATACAACTGAGGTATGGTGCTGACAAACCAAGGATCATAATCAAGGCGAACAAATGATCCTTATACACGTGTAAGGCGCAACTCTGCAATAAGAACTGTTGCGCCGCTGGATTGTTGCGACTGTATCCCCGGTGCCCCGAGAATAAACAACAAGAAAACATACAGGCTGAGGACAGAGCACAGAAAGCGAGGGAACTTGCTTATCAAAACCATGAACAGACATAGTTCAAGCCGTCGCTACAAGTGCAATAATCTTGAAAGCGACGTTAAGCTCCATTTCACCTGACCACCACATACTTTAAGACCAAGTTGCGGCCATAATCGGTATTCGTTGATGACATTTCGCCACGTGTAACGCAATTGTCTGTTACAGGTGCGAAAAGCCTGAAGAAAGCTTAGTCTCAACTGTCTGTTTGTTCTCTCGGCCAAGCAGATATGAAAACAGCTGCAAGACTGTTTCCAGTGTGAACAATAGGAAGACACAACGCGGCTTCAGCGACCTATCCCAGACCTCATGTGTCAAAGTCGACATCAATGTATTTTACTCTGGCCTTGGTTGCCGGAAGACGCGAGGTGGACTTGTTAGCCACGGGTAGCGATACAAGGGTGTTCATCTCGGCTTACGCCGTGTTCATGTCACACGCAATCTCGCTTGGATTATTTCCACACTTTAGGATGGACTTTAATGGCGCCCTAATTCAAGGGGAGGCCACAGGAGCCGACGTGTCGTTATAGAAAGACAAACTGTAGTTACACAACCCACATGCCAGGTTACAGCCGTATATATACTAGTATTTCCTTCACCCAAGGGCAATACCTCTCTGGAACATTTTTGGTCATTAGTTTGAAAAATGGTTTCTCAAATTAGTCCCCAACAAGTCCCCATGTACGTACACATGGTGATAGGGGGGCACTTGTTCTTGGTTAGATTTCGCCCCCCAGGGCAGGATTCAAAATACCACATGTCAGGATGCCCGCCCCCGATACGGTGCTAGTACCCACTCACAACATAAATACATGTTGTCAACATGAGAGGTTGTTAACATCGCCGGCATGTAGGCGGTATGTGTAACTTACAGGTTACCTTTGGTTTCTAATGGTGTACTATGTTATGCAATGTAGATGATATGTTGATGAAGCTGGTGATAGGATGTGTATTTGGCTGCTGAAGCACGTGCCTCAGAAGAAAGCAATTGTAAATAGCATCATTAAACGAACATCTAACATTAGATGCATGCTTAATGTATAGTTAGCTTACTTAAAAGAGATATATAAATAGAATTGCTCGATTTCATAAATTGGTTTCTGGCGTAACGTAGTTAGTAGTAAAACGGTAGCTAAAGCAGCTGGAAATGGACGTGAACCTGCTCACATTCAATCTGCGCTGTGTGTGTGTGTGTGTGTGTGTGTGTGTGTGTGTGTGTGTGTGTGTGTGTGTGTGTGTGTGTGTGTGTGTGTGTGTGTGTGTGTGTGTGTGTGTGTGTGTGTGTGTGTGTGTGTGCAGATTTTATTGCCGCTTCAATATATTTATGGCGGTTCCACAGACACGGACGGGGGTTAGAAGGATGTTTTTTAAAGTTGATTCTTAGGTCAAGGAGTATGCCTCTGTCTATACGTACTTCTCATCCTGATGTCTCTGTACGAATAGCAGAATAGAGGGGCAATCTCAAGGTTAAAATGGTTGTGCCAACGAGTTGTACCGTGTTAATTCTCTTCATTTATTTTTTTTGTGCCAGGGAGAAGGCCTCTGTCATTTACGTACGTCTCAACCGGACGTTTCTGTAAGAGTAGCAGGACAATACATATACACACCTTTCCTTCACAGTTGCTTGTCCTATCCAAGGCCAAGGATGTCTGGAACCCCTGCAGTCGACAGTGTGGAGGCGGACTCAGCAAGAGTGGGTGTGAGGAGGGGGGCGTCTGCAACACGTCCGTTAAATACAGGGTCTGTAATCGACAGGTGAGTCGAGGGTGGGTCGGCGAATTAAATGATGTGAAAGCACCGGGGTCTGTGAATGCTTGTATACCCAAATTTTATTACCAACATTTAGCACGATTGCCAAAAATGTCATGATTGAAAAAACCCAATTCCAATTAAATGTTTCAGAAGTGTATGAAGGACGGGTCAACCCCCAGAGAGGAGCAATGTGGTCGTTACAACAATATTCCATTTCGCGGCTCTCTGTATTCATGGATTCCGGCTCATAAACCACGAACACCCTGCGCCCTTATCTGTAGGAGTGCCGTCACTGAGGACAAGGTCACTGTCAAGTTGAACGATACCGTTGACGACGGGACGGGCTGCGGCAACAACAGTGTATGCATAGCTGGTAAATGTCTGGTGAGTTAATCGAATACGTGCAAGAGTATGGTGAAGTCATCACTGCTTTATCTTATTTAATATAATTAGGAGGCAAACGTTATAATCATGTTCAGACTTGCGGGTTTATTCAGTATTCGGTGCCCGGAAATTTAATTTGAAAACGACGTCGTTAATATTAGTGGTTTACAAATTCGATTAACATCGTGTTTTCGGATTTGAAGGGTGTTATTGAATATTCGGTGACCGGATTTAAACATTTGAAACAAATAAAACCGCAATCCGAAAACACATGTTTATCTCCTAAATAGTACCGGGATTGATTGAACGTGTTTGTTTTGTTTGACTCCCAGGACGTTGGCTGTGACGACATAGCTGGATCTGGGACGGTGTTGGATGTCTGCGGTGTGTGTGACGGCGACGGGACCAGCTGCAAGCAGGGTTCGGCCCGAACCAAGGCCCGCTACCAATGGGAAGTGAACTGGGTGCCCTGCTCCGTGACGTGTGGTGTAGGTAAACTGACTTGTGTCATCCTTTATACTGATCGCACCTATACAACACGGATATTTGGATTGCAATGTTACCATTTTGTACCGGATGCATAGGATCCACACATTATTCTTTGAACGATCTTCTCATTTATTTTTATTTAGAACACAGATTTGAGAAAAACAATAACCTAGTCCATGCTTAAACGCACTGCTCATTCCAATTCCAGTTTAGTTTGTTGTATGTAGTACAATCATAATCGTAGACAGCATCTTCCCTACAAACAGTACCTTCCCTTCCCCCAGCTACCCAAACTCCACGACCTACTATAAATGTTGTAGCCATCCCTCACACCAGCCAGGTACACTATCTGTGTTTGTCTAGACAGGACACCAGAAGATGATATCCAAGTGTAAAAATACCCAAACTTACGACGTCGTGGCAGACAGTATGTGTCGGAACTCCATCCGTCCCAAGGACGTGTCCGTCAAGTGTACCCTGAGGGCGTGTTCGGCCGACAAGAAGCAGATTCTCTGGCTGACGGGGGTCTGGTCGCCGGTGAGAACATTTTGACATCTTATGTTCCACAATGAATGTTGGGAATATGTAAAGGGCATTGGTTCGCAGTTGGCTTTCTAACCAATACTTTGAAGTTAGCGATAGGGTACAGTTGACATTGTCTGTGTTGTAGTGTCCTGTGACGTGTGGGGTCGGGTACAAGTACCGAAACGTCATCTGTAAGCACCAAGGGAGGGGTAGATGCTCCACTTGGAACAAGCCCCCCACACGAGTCACGTGTGACACCGGTGTGTCGTGCAGCCAATACAGAGGTATGTGATGTCCGCGTGTGACCGACACACGTTTTGTTTCAGCACAGTGCACTGATGCATATGAACGAGTTTGGAATTCGTTTCACCGCGTTCCTGTTTCTTGTTGTGGAGCATGATTTAAAACTGTATCCTATTTTCGCGTGACCCTTGTTCGACTTGCTTTGATTAAATAAACTGTGGCCCAATGGGATAAAGTCCATTATTCAGTGTATTCATTGCTACGTAACACTCTGTTTCTTGGAGAACGTTGTAACACTAAACCTCCATATGGTGCTATGAAGAATTGTCATTATCTGCATTTGTATATCCACAATCTAATGTACAACTCTTTCCACAGGGGAAGCTACTAATCTACTCACAAATCCACAACTATATATAACACGAAGTATAAACCGCACAAATATAGCCTTCTAAAATATCTCACAGTGACTTCTGCGTGGAGCTAACACAACGTCAGTTGACGTCCATCTGGTCTAACGCCTACACATGTAGATGGTATTTTGTGGATGTTTTGTATTTAAGGCGGCCCAGACAGTTACCAGAGCGACGGTGAGAGTAGCTAACTGCATGAACACCTCATATATAGGCTTTGCATGACTGGGTTTTAACCATGCACCGAACTGTAATCTGTCCACTAGGGTATGGTATATTAGTGACGACCATTGCTCGCTCTTACAAGATGTAGTCGTCTGCTAGCAGCGGTGTTGCTTCAATAACTTCCGGAAAGAAGACCCAGCAGCCATTGTAATTACTGTGAACGCTATTATGTTTTAATGGCAGGGTTATAAGTTAAACACTTAATCATTTCTCTGTTCTCACTGATCTTGTTCACCCACCCTTTTTTATTTCTGTACAAGGGCGGATCAAGCATTTTTAAAAGGGAGGGGTCCAAAATATCCAAATACTTTCTCTAGATCCGTCTATGCAGTAGTCCGTTGGATCGGAGATTCAAATATCTAGAAGTACAGAGAGGTAGTAATGTATGTTGTTATGAAACAACTCGCTGAAGTAAAGGTGGTTTGCATGCTGTCGTTCTCTAAGATGTACACAGACTGAGGTTGCATCTGGTAATACCTATCCTGAAGTTAGACTAATTCTGTTGGTATGTGTTAACTAATGGTTGGGGTGACATGTCGGCCAGCAGGCGAGGCATGGCTTCTAGATCTCCCGTACCCATAGCCACCCGTTTCTAGACCGTGGCTGTTCTCCACAAACTTCTAGTCTTAGTCCACGAACTATGGTTAGTCAGTAGGAAACAATAATGGTTGGTTTACCCCGTATCTGTATTTTAATTGCCAGGTGAAGTAGCCACGCTTTGTATACCCCAGTGTATTTTGTACCTCGCCTTCTCCGCGCAGCTCCAGTAATCTGCGCTTCAAGCCGCTGCTTTGAATTTGCCTTGAACACATTTAATTCATTATAACTTTCACAGCTGTCTTTCACAGCGTTGTACTCCAAAAAAATAATTAAATACAATTGCCCTTCTAGATCTTTGTCATTTGGATAATCCATACCGTGAAAACAAACCAGCAAATTATATTTATCCATAAATGCTGATTCTATTGATTTGAGGGGGCACGAGTGGCCCAGAATCTAAGGCCCCGCGGTTCGCTGTGCAGAGTTGCGTCCCTTGGTCACGCCAGAAACCTATGATCGTGGGTTCGAATCCCGGTTCGCCCCGATTAAGTTTGTAAGCACCATACCCGTGCTCCTGGGTTTCACCGAAGTGGTAAACGTCTGAGACCCGCATCACTTCGGGCTTTCCTCCCACATTAAGCTGACACGCCGCGATATAACTGGAATATTGTTAAAAGCGGCGTTAAACCCAATTCATTCACTGACGCTATTGATTTGAAACTTCAATAATAACTAGGAAGATCTGAAGCTAGGTGTTAGTATGTAAACGGTGTGTGGTAAATTGCAGTATGTTACAGGTGTGTTATAGATTGTAGTATGTTACAGGTGTGTTATAGGTTGTAGTATGTTACAGGTGTGTTATGGATTGTATGTTACAGGTGCTATATATTGTAGTATGTTTCAGGCGTGTTATATGTTGCAGTATGTTACAGATGTGTTATAGGTTGAAGTATGTTACAGGTGTGTTATAGGTTGTAGTATGTTACAGGTGTGTTATAGGTTGCAGTATCTTACAGGTGTGTTATAGGTTGCAGTATGTTACAGGTGTGTTATAGGTTGTAGTGTGTTACAGGTGTGTTATAGGTTGCAGTATGTTACAGGTGTGTTATAGGTTGCAGTATCTTACAGGTGTGTTATAGGTTGCAGTATCTTACAGGTGTGTGATAGTTTGTACTATGTTACAGGCGTGTTATAGGTTGAATGTGGCTTTCCTCACACATTAAGCTGACATGCCGCGATATAACTGGAATATTGTTAAAAGCGGCGTTAAACCCAACTCATTCACTGACGCTATTGATTTGAAACTTCAATAATAACTAGGAAGATCTGAAGGTAGGTGTTAGTATGTAAACGGTGTGTGGTAAATTGCAGTATGTTACAGGTGTGTTATAGGTTGCAGTATGTTACAGGTGTGTTGCAGGTATACTATCAGTTATGTAATACAAGTGTGACAAATGGTAGAATGTTACAGACATGTTGGAGTGTGTGTGTTACCTGGCGTGGTGTTTTACGGGTGTGTCAGAGGTGACTTTGTGAAGCAAGATGCTGGTGTAACAAGTATAAACTTCCATGTGAATGAATTCAGAATCGTGACTGATATTGACGTTACAATGTTTGCAGACTGGAGGCGTGGGGAGGTGGGTCTTCAGTCTCTCAACCCCTTCAAAACAAGAAAAAATGAGGGGAGACCACTCACACCCAGGTATGTGGTCGAGAGTTAATCTACTGTATTGCAGGGTATGACGCGTGCAGTTCTCTAGTAGTAGTAGGTGTCATATTGGCTAGATGAAGTGCAAACTTCAACCATGTTGGCCTTCCAGCAGGGAGTGTGGGCCACATGCAGTCTTTTTGCTCCCTGTACTTTAATATGTTTAACCTTTTATCTACAAACAAATGAAAATATGAGTTGCCATATGGTTGAATCACGTTTTAACATTGACGATGAAACTGTAGAGAGTTAACCCGCCACAGAGTTGTTGAATTGAAGGCACAAAAAGGAGCCGAGCGGATCGCCTAATACAGCACTAACAGACAATTGAAGGCATCCACGTGGTTTGGGCATCATCGTTTGGGGGCAGTCAGTCGGACCCTATGTGGCGGTTTTTCGGAACCTGATAACTGTAAAGATCGAGGCGGTTTTTTTCAAATCTATTGCATTCTTGTCAGTTCGTAGTACACAAAGGCGGACATGACTGACTTCATCCCACCTGTCCATTGATGACAAGTCTCGTGGTCTCGGAGGCCAAAGTCAATAGGAGGCATTCCCAAATGCCAAATCCATAGAGACGTGTAAGGTGTACAACTGATATACGCGTATGTGACAATTCTCTTCCACATTTGCGCTACGTATACCAATGATCTTTCTCGGTCCTAATTAATTGGCCTAACAGATTCAGGGTTTGTCAAAGGGGAAACTTTCCATACCGGCTACGTGAACTTATTGTTTGCAGATTCCTGGCGGGGGACTGGAGTGTGTGCAGTGTGACGTGTGGGAGAGGGGTGCGGACACGGACGGTCAAGTGTAAGGTCTACTTCGACATCTCCGGCAAGGTGGAAGCGGTCCCTGACTCGGAGTGCTACAGTAGGTGCATGGTTACTAAGTGGCTCAGAACAGCAGCCTGTACGGGTGGTTGTTATATGGTTAGAACAGCAGCCTGTACGGGTGGTTGTTATATGGTTAGAACAGCAGTATGTACGGGTGGTTGTTATATGGTTAGAACAGCAGCTTGTACGGGTGGTTATTATATGGTTAGAACAGCAGCATGTTTGGGTGGTTGTTATATGGTTAGAACAGCAGCATTTATGGGTGGTTGTTATATGGTTAGAACAGAAGTATGTATGGGTGGTTGCTATATGATTAGAACAGCAGCATGTATGGGTGGTTGCTATATGATTAGAACAGCAGCAAGGCGGGTGGTTGTTATATGGTTAGAACAGCAGCAAGGCGGGTGGTTGTTATATGATAAGAACAGCAGCAAGGCGGGTGGTTGTTATATGGTTAGAACAGCAGCATGTACAGGTGGTTACTATATGATTAGAACACCAGCAAGGCAGGTGGTTGTTATATCGTTAGAACAGCAGTATGTATGGGAGGTTGCTATATGGTTAGAACAGCAATATGTACGGGTGGTTGCTATATGATTAGAACAGCAGCCTGCACCGGTGGTTGTTATATGGTTAGAACAGCAGTATGTATGGGAGGTTGCTATATGGTTAGAACAGCAGTATGTACGGGTGGTTGTTATATGGTTCGAACAGCAGTATGTATGGGAGGTTGCTATGTGGTTAGAACAGCAGCATGTACGGGTGGTTGCTATATGGTTAGAACAGCAGTATTTACGGGTGGTTACTATATGGTTAGAACAGCAGCATGTACGGGTGGTTACTATATGATTAGAACAGCAGCATGTACGGGTGGTTGTTATATGGTTAGAACAGCAGTATGTACGGGTGGTTGCTATATGGTTAGAACAGCAGCATGTACGGGTGGTTACTATATGATTAGAACAGCAGCATGTACGGGTGGTTGTTATATGGTTAGAACAGCAGTATGTATGGGTGGTTGCTATATGGTTAGAACAGCAGCATGTACGGGTGGTTACTATATGATTAGAACAGCAGCATGTACGGGTGGTTGTTATATGGTTAGAACAGCAGTATGTATGGGAGGTTGCTATATGGTTAGAACAGCAGTATGTACGGGTGGTTGCTATATGGTTAGAACAGCAGTATGTACGGGTGGTTGCTATATGGTTAGAACAGCAGTATGTACGGGTGGTTGCTATATGATTAGAACAGCAGCATGTACGGGTGGTTGCTATATGATTAGAACAGCAGTATGTACGGGTGGTTGCTATATGATTAGAACAGCAGCCTGTACGGGTGGTTGTTATATGATTAGAACAGCAGTATGTACGGGTGGTTGCTATATATGGTTAGAACAGCAGTATGTACGGGTGGTTGCTATATGATTAGAACAGCAGCCTGTACGGGTGGTTGTTATATGATTAGAACAGCAGCAAGGCGGGTGGTTACTATATGCTTAGAACAGCAGCTACTGACATTCCCACCCTGGAAAGTAACTGCACAGGTTTACGGTCATATCAAAAACTAGAATTAAACACTAGAAATTTCCTTTTTATGGCTTGTGTGTTCTTGTGTTTTTTGTAAAGGAAAATGTCCTACCTTATGCAAGTACCTATTCTTTCCTGATCATGCCTTTATCAATTCACCTCCCACAGGCAAGAAGCCATCCGAGAAAGAAGTGTGTGTTCTACAAGCATGTCGGGAAACGGAGGTCTCTCCAGGGGTCACAGGATTTAACGAGATCTTCAGTCCAGACGAAACCTTCCGATGGGAGCTTGGGAACTACTCCACCTGTACTCAGAGCTGTCTGCGAGGTGAATGGTGACTCGTTTTATAGTCTTCACTACATCAATATATTATCACTGGTGTGTAGTAGTTAAAGAACAAACCAAACAAACCCCCTGATTTGCAACCCTAGCGCAACTAATCCCAAGGATCGTAAGTATGTATCCTGTATTATTGAATTGAATACAGTTTATTCAGTACTTTAGGCATCGAGGCCCATATTATAATGCAGATCTGATATTAACATTTGTACATGATTAGATTTTAAATCAAGTTAGTCTTTTAAGAATACAGAAACAGCATGGATCATATCAGGATTTTCAGAGTCTAGCAGATTTATCCTTAACTGACGGTCTTTAAAAATACCTTGCAACATGGGCAGAAATTTATACCTTAAATGGTTTCACATATAAGTGAGACATGGTATTCATCCTCTACTTCTCCGGATGAACAGTTTGTACAAATAGAGTTCACAATATCACCGTCTTTGCACCTTCGACATACATTTACATTAAAATTGTGCAATGGAACTCTGATTCTGAAGTTTATAATAAGCTCTGATTAAACCTTTATCATTTAAACAAGTTAAATATCTTTCAGTTTGTAACAATGATTTAACTTTGCTGTTATTGCGAAGATGAAGTGATTCAGAAATACTTTGGTGCCACTGTTGACAAAATATATCCTTTAGTCTTTGAATAAATGAATATCAAAATAACTGTGGATCTCCCACATCTTGGGAAATCCATACATATGAAAAACCACTAACAAATAATAGATTTCTCACATCTGAAACCCAATTACTTTTACCATTATCATCAAGTACCTTTAACATTTTGTAACACTGATATGGGTATCTATCAGGCATCATTCTAAGTACCGGTAATTTAATCCAATACTTAATTACCCTTAATTGGCTGGCTACAGAAATATTACTACGGCCTGTTTCACCAAGGATCGTCTTGTTTGAGGCAAACTTACAAACACCTAGAAAACATTTGAAACATGAAGTGTGAACTTTCTCAATTGCAGCGTAATACTTAGCACCCCATATTTCAGAACCATACAAAAGCATAGGCATAATTTTGCCTTTAAAAATGGTACATGCTCTGACAAAAGACACCCAACTATTTTTCCTGAATAAATTATAAAGAGGCCTAATGGCCCTCGATGCCTGAACAGCTAATTGCTTTACATGCCATATACCATGACAACCTAGAGGAGAACATAAGACCTAAATATTTACAGTAAGTGACTACACTCAAGGCAGACGAACCAAGAAACCAGTTTTCATGTTTTGCAACAATACCACCTTTTCTAAAAACTACAACATTGGTTTTATTCAGATTTACTTCAAGACTCCATTTTGAACAGTAACTCTGTAACAGATTTAACTGTTTTGGCAAGCCGTTTACAGAATAGGAAAGAATTACAACATCATCAGCAAAGAGAAGGAGCATCATGTCCATTATTTCTTGTGTTACAAATATCCCATGTTGACAACTATTTTGCAGCTCTATAGCAAGTTCATTTATGAAAAATATTAACAACAACAGATTTAAAACACAACCTTGTCGTACACTGGAGGATGCTGTAAAGCAGTACATACGTTCATTATTGACCTTTATACATGCGCTGATTGATGCATACATGTTTTTTTAAAAGTACAGACATTTTACCATGACTTTATTAATAAGTAAATACGTCATTGTTTTCCTATTAACATAGTCAAAAGCTATTTTTAAAATCAATAAATATACAATGAAAGCAACCTCTGGTTTTGCACAAATATTTAGAACGAAGAGCTTGTAAAACAAACAAATTATCAACAGTAGAGTATCAAGTATTATAGGCTACAGGTAATGCGTTAATATGTACATTCCGATCCTAAATTCTTTCCCTCAGATATATCTAGTTTTTATGACACTGTTTGGTGATGAACAGATTCTATCATCGCGTCTTGAATGCACCTAGACTGTTGTCAGACACCATTGTCACAACACTGAATTCCTCTTGCTCCTGCTCAGGTACCCAGAGAACTAGACTGGAGTGCGTGAGGGAGAAGAACGGCGCCATCGTGTCCGCGTCTAACTGTCTGCACCTCATCAAGCCTACCACCAAGGTCAGGAGCTGCAATGATGTGCCTTGTCCGCCCAGGTAGGATCAGATGTGTGATAGTTCGGTAGACTGTTATTAATAGAGTAAAAGTTATTAATAATACATCAGGCTATTGCTGTTGCAGCTGATTCTGAGCAAGATATTCACTGGTAATTCTGAACGTGTTTGTTTGTTTGTTCTTTAACGCAGCAATATTCCAGATACATGACAGCGGTCTGTAAATACTCGAGTCTGGACAAGACAATCCAGTGATTGACATCATGAGCATCGACATGCGCAATTGTGATACAATGACATGCATCAACCAAGTCAGCGAGCCTGACCACCCGATCCCGTTAGTCGTATCTATATACGACAAGCATAGTTGATGGGTTGCTGAAGATCTATTCTACCCCGAATGTTCAACAGGTCTCTTAGAAGACAAGCATGGGTTGCTGAATACCAGTTCTAACCCGCATCTTTACGGGTACTTTCTGAACGTGCATTTGTAAACACGTAAAAGCGACGCAACAACAGGTCATTATAACACGTCCCATTTTAATTCTGGAAACCCAAAAGTCCAGAAACTCTACGGTCTTTGCCCAGTCTCGGTTAAAGGTATTTACAAAATTAAACATGCCGTTTTCATGGGAACATACCAAGGAAGAAAAAATGAAAAAAGAATTGTTTAAAAACTCAATATTTAGACTATGTCGCCCATGGGCCTGCCCATGGGCGAAGTGTGGCCTATGGGCCTGCCCATGGGCGAAGTCTGGCCCATGGGTAGGCCCATGGGCAGGCCCATGGGCGAGAATATGTTCCTTTACTTAAAACTCATGTTTTTGTTTCGCATATACATTTAATGTATTCATTCAAGTATCATGACACAAAATTTAATTCATTTTAACTTAATTCAAAGATTTTATAACGATATTGAAATATTTCGCCCATGGGCGAGAAAAAGGTTTGGCCCATGGGGGAGAATATGTTCCTTTACTTAAAACTCATGATTTTGTTTCGCAAATACATTAAATGTATTTATTGAAGTATCATGACACAAAATTTACCTCATTTTAACTTATTTCAACTATTTTATAGCGATATTGAAATATTTCGCCCATGGGTAGGCCCATGGGTAGGCCCATGGGCAGGCCCATGGGCGAGAATATGTTCCTTTACTTAAAACTCATGTTTTTGTTTCGCAAATACATTTAATGTATTCATTGAAGTATCATGACACAAAATTAAACTCATTTTAACTTAATTCAACGATTTTATAGCGATATTGAAATATTTCGCCCATGGGCGAGAAAAAGGTTTGGCCCATGGGCGAGAATATGTTCCTGTACTTAAAACTCATGATTTTGTTTCGCAAATACATTAAATGTATTTATTGAAGTATCATGACACAAAATTTAACTCATTTTAACTTAATTCAACTATTTTACGGCGTTATTAAAATATTTCGCCCATGTTTACGTCAGTCCCTTTCAAGCATCAACTAACTGTTTGCAAAGTATATTGTATCATGTGAAATATACTTTATATTATATCATTACATTACTATTTAAAAAGGGCATTTGGTTGGATGTTTCCTTTAGTTCTACAAATTTCACCTGTTTTACACATTGTAGCGATCTTTAATGAACCCGGCCTTACCTCTCAAAACGTTTTGACAGTTTATCATACGAATTCATGTGCGTGTACTCCAATTCATTGGAGTTATTTTCCACAACATTAAATTTTAGTTAGTTTCTATTTCATTTCCCATTTAATGTCCCGTTGATACATCACACTGGGCAATTACGTGACACCAGGTATGCAATATACAGGTACGCGTGCGCGTGTTTTAATGAAAAAAACTATTCGTCTTTTATTGCATAACGTTTGGCTGAATATCTTACATTCTAACGAAATCTCGAAATAATTATTTAATAACATGCGGTTTCGAACTGACCAGTGGGAATTATGTTTCAATGCGATTGAGGAAAACGTGAGTGAATATTGTGACACTAAAGCAACTTTTAACTGCATTGTCACTTTTGGTATGAAAATGGTAACAGTTCAGAAAAAAACAACAGCCTTCTTATGATAATTCTCATTAGTACGTGGTATCTAATTACAGTGTCGGCCTTATTTACAGGTGATTCTACAATACCTGCTCTCGGTCAATTACGATCTACCACACCACGCGTGAATAAACAGTTATGCAGGTGTTGCTGTGGGCAAATACCTAGCCTGAAAATGTTTATTTTTTTTAGGATACATGTTTTACAAATGTTCGTTGATATGTGGATATATTAAGCACAAAGACAAAAAAATGTTAATTAGTGCCTTGATATATTCATCGAGATGTGTATCATCGTTTAATGGGGTCATTCAATAAACGTATGTTTGGAGGAGATATCAAAGGAGCCGCTCAATATACACAGTGTCGTCCGGTGAACTACCACCCCACCCTGTCCATTAGAGTTATGTAATCGGTACACAAATATATTTGATGCGGTGTCAGTGCGGAAGGAGTTTGAATTACGTCCGCCAGTTGTCACAGAAATCCTCAAAGTATAGAAACAATAAACAAGGTCAATCCGTACTAATTACCTAGTGACGCACGTAACAACGACTGTCAATAGGGAAAATGGTGAAAACAAATTGAAATAGATTTTAATAAAACATTACTGTACTACATAACTCGCAAAAGCGGTGCCTAAAATTTTTGACCGTGTTATGTGTGTTGTAAACTGACGAATAGCAAGTAATTGTCATGCTGTACGCATGGTTCCATATACAAATTCAGTTATACAACCGGTATGAAACTGAGAACTGAGATACCAAGTACAACCTGCATTCACACACGGAAGCAATATACTTGTGTGTATGCCCTCTCCTCTAAAAAATGTATCACTAAAGTATTTGCATTGTAATAAATATAGTAATGATAAAACTTGGTAATTTGGTAGGTCTCCGACAGATATGATTTTCAGTTTTTTTACATCTTTGATTGATACGGATTACGTACCTGTAGTCTAGTCACTGTCTCTAATGTATCTGCTTGTTAGAAATTTCAAATGTCTCGTTATAGCACTGTTCCTAAAATACGGCAGTTTCTTTTATCGGGTATAAATAGTTGATTCGTCTTGTCACGCAGTCATTTTTTACTTGATCGAATGATTTCCACAAAACATTACGGCAGAGAGTTTTGTATTTTATTATATTTTTAGAAGATTTTAGAAGATGCTTACATCACTGTATCTCAGAACGTAAAACTGATAACATTCAAACATGTAATTAGTACACAGTTAATTGTTACATATAATTTCCTGCATATTCCCTTTTGAACAAAAAGCCTACATGTATACTGATATCGGTGTCCACTGTTAAAAGGGTATTAGTGCAGTCAGCCATGGTAAATGGAGAGACAATAATAAGGTGATTAATTATAGTCTGTTGCAGAATATGCGGTATAAGTGTAGTCATTGATACATATACGCATTACACATATACAGATGAAACACACGATATGATGCAGTGCAAGAACAAATTAAGATACGGTTTCTATTGAAAATAATTATACGATTTTGGATTTAATTGGCATGTTTAAATTTTCAGGCCAACACGGCTGAGATACAGCATCGGCATACTCAACTGGAGTTGTTTTCTGCCGGTCGTAAGTTCATTGTTTGACTGAGCACACTCGTGTCGGGGTTGCGATATTTTCTTCTCTTTGTTGGCAGCCTGCCACCGGTCTGAATTTTGAGAAAGGTCTCAGCATGGGACTGTTAATTACTTCTTAATGATGTCTACAAGCTTACAAACTTGTAGATGTTGGGTGCGGTTAGGACCAAACTTTTTCAGCTCAGAGTGTTAGTGGTCCTGGAACCCATAGTGTCAAACAGGTTCTGCACAAAACGTCCATCAGATTCTACTGTTCAGCAACATTGTCACTGAATTTCAGAACTCTGGCATGATATAATAATCAAGGATTTCGAAGGTGAACGAGGGGAAAGGCAGACGCACGTGGATTTACCCTCAGGTTATTATTGTCTGGAGTTCACATTTTGGGGCATTTCATATACTAATTGAACAGAGTTCACCTGCACATGTCCACTTTAGTGATACAGACTGTAACCAAAAATGCAATGAGCCGTAGCTCTTAATCCCTTATAACAACGGTAACAACAACCAGGGTGAGGACACAGTAAGGTTAAACCGTGTCCAACAGACAATCTGAGGTGGCTATCTCCCATCAAGTCACCTCTGTTTTTAAGCGCATAGTTATGTTTTTACATATTGAAATAAAAGGAATTCAAAAAATTATATTTAACAAACCTACACATTACCAAATACAAAACTGTATAACCCTCTCTAGACTTCGTTCCAATTATCCTGGATCATTCAACTCGCTCGCGAAGGTCGTATGCGACTATAAAGTGAATACGTCTACAGTGTACAAGTAACTTTTAACTGTATCATATAGACTTATGATAAGCAATTATTTTCGTTCCTAATTCGAATGAGCACATTCTGAGGCTAAATCTGCAAAAGGACAGATAAAATATTTCTTTGTACAATGCAAACGATACAAACGTAGCGGCTGATAATAGAGACAATGATTTAATAATCTGCAATATATCAAGTGTTCTCGTTCAATCTATTGTACATATTGAAGTGATTGTAAAGTTTCAAGGAGTACTAAAATGTTGTGGTATTATGAATGTATTTAGAATATGAATAGCGAAAAACAGTCACCATATCGGATGTACATGTATAACTTGTCTTCCAACACCACGCTTGTGCCGAGGCCCATGGTCATAAAACTAATCGGTCCCATAAAAGGAGCAAATAGTTTCGCAGATACTTCTTGCTATGGTTCACTCACAATTGTCAGACGACCTAATCATCAGTCAGACCAGTCAAGTGTGACCAGCGTACCTGCCTGGTTTTGGCTCCTAATTACTGAACTGCCCAATACTTTCATACTGTGGGCAAAGTAAGCGGCCTCGTTGAGTGATACAGACTAACCAGATTATGATTGTGTTTGTAAGTTGCGTTTAATCTGTGTCGGGTTGCAGTTGCTTTATTAGTCAAGACTAGGGGTAGTTTTTTCAATGAAACCTTTTAGCCGCTGAAATGTTTTGCATTCATTTCATTGAATACATTGTTAGGTAGAATAATAACACGTTATATGGATAAAACATCTCCCTAATCTGAGTATAATCTCACATGTACTCTAAGTACCGTACTATATTACTTTGCGGAGACACTGAGTATAATTTTTTAGTTGGCATTGTATGCTGTCTGAATGACTTTACACAAATCCCTGCATTCAATAGACCCGTGAAGATCTTCAACAAACCATTCTTGGCGTAAAAGGACGACAGCGCTTGTCGTAAGAAGCGACTACCGGGATCGGGTGGTCAGGCTCGCTGACTTGGTTGATGCATGTCATCGTATCCCAATTGCGTGGATCGATGCACATGATGTCAATCACTGGATTGTCTGGTCCAGACTCGATTATTTACAGACCGCCGTCATACAGCTGAAATATTGCTAAGTGTGGCGTTATACAACTAACAAACAAACAAAACACAAAAAGAGAAAGTGTATGAGTACTAAACCTTGCAATAGAAATGCGTACCCTACGTACACACATGTGTCCCATTCGACAGTCTACAACACACGAATAACTGTCAAACAAGTTTGGGTACCCTTTCTGTTCAGGCAAGTTATTTAGTTCGATAATTTTGTATTAAAATCCTTTTCAATTTGTTTTCATCCTTTTTCCCTATTCCATGCATGTTTATGTTGCTACATCTTATTGCTCATGTTTCCAAGTATTGTAAAACACTTTAATGTTTCTCCTTCTTAATCTAACGTTATAACATTTCCGGTCATTGCCATCATCTAATACACAAGAGATGATACCAAGGCATATTTTATTCGGTTTTATGGTCTATGCGGTCTTACAATTGATTTTATTAGTCTTTAAATCTTATGTCTAGTAAATATTTTCACAAACAGGGCTGTTAACTGATATAAGGAATGTAACATCCAGTTGAGGACTGAATACGACGTACGTTAGTCTGGTAACGACATTTCTACAATTAATATTTTGAATAAGCCGTTAATACGCCAGTTGTGACAGGGATGATGGTATGGTAGATGTAGCAGACATATTGACAGCCGTTGTTACGCGAGTCACTAGGTTATTAGTACGGCATTGGCCTTGTTGATTGGTACTATACTTTCTGTGGCCACTGGCGGACGTAATTCAAACTCCTTCCACACTGACATCGCACCAAATATATTTGTGTACCGATTACATAACTCTAACTGACAGGGTAGGGTGGTAGTTCACGCGAAACGGACGACACTGTGTATATTGAGCGGCTCCTTTGATATCGCCTCACAACATACTTTTAATGAATGACCAATTAAACGATGATACACATCAGGATCGCGGAGAAAATACAAGCTTCGTTCGCGTTGAATATATATATCAAGGCACAAATTCATCTTTCATAAACATTTTGTGTCTTGGTGCTTAATATATCCACATATCAACGAAAATATGTAATACATGTATCCACAAAAATATACATGTACAGGCTAGGTATTTGCCCACAGCAACACCTGCTTAACTGTTTATTCACGCGTGGTGTGGCAGATTGTAATTGACCGACAACAAGTATTGTAGAATCACCTGTAAATAAGGCCGACACTGTAATTAGACACAACGTACTAATGAGAATATGAGAATTATCATAAGAAGGCTGTTACGTTTTTCTTAACTATTACCATTTTCATACCAAAAGTGACAATGCAGTTAAAAGTTGCTTTAGTGTCACAATATTCACTCACGTTTTCCTCAATCGCATTGAAACATAATTCCTACTGGTCAGTTCGACACTGCTTGTAATTAAATAATTATTTCGAGATTTCGTTAGAATGTAAGATATTCAGCCAAACGTTATGCAATAAAAGACGAATAGTTTCTTTCCATTAAAATACGCGCACGCGTACCTGTCACGTAATTGCACAGTGGGATGTATCAACGGGTCATAAAATGGGAAATGAAATAGAAACTAACTAAAATTTAATGTTGTACACGCACATGAATTCGTATGATAAACTGCCAAAACGTTTTGAGAGATAAGGCCGGGTTCATTAAAGATGTTGGGTGCGGTTAGGACCAAACTTTTTCAGCTCAGAGTGTTAGTGGTCCTGGAACCCATAGTGTCAAACAGGTTCTGCAAAATACGTCAATCAGATTCTACTGTTCAACAGCATTGTCACTGAATTTCAGAACTCTGGCATGATATAATAATCAAGGATTTCGAAGGCAAAACCTTTTCTCGCCCATGGGCGAAATATTTCAATAAATCTGTAAAATAGCTGAATTGAGTAAAATTGTGTAACATTATGTGCCATGAAAATAGTAAGAACACCTGCATGTATTTGCGAAACAAAAACATAAGTTTTAAGTAAAGGAAAATATTCTCGCCCATGGGCCAAACCCTTTTCTCGCCCATGGGCGTAATATTTCAATATCGCTATCAAATCGTTGAATTAAGTTAAAATGAGTTAAATTTTGTGTCATGATACTTAAATAAATACATTTAATGTATTCGCGAAACAAAAACATGAGTTTTAAGTAAAGGAACATATTCTCGCCCATGGGCCTGCCCATGGGCCTACCCATGGGCCTACCCATGGGCCAAACCTTTTTCTCGCCCATGGGCGAAATATTTCAATATCGCTATAAATCGTTGAATTAAGTTAAAATGAGTTAAATTTTGTGTCATGATACTTAAATGAATACATTAAATGTATTTGCGAAACAAAAACATGAGTTTTAAGTAAAGGAACATATTCTCGCCCATGGGCCTGCCCATGGGCCTACCCATGGGCCTACCCATGGGCCAAACCTTTTTCTCGCCCATGGGCGAAATATTTCAATATCGCTATAAATCGTTGAATTAAGTTAAAATGAGTTAAATTTTGTGTCATGATACTTAAATGAATACATTAAATGTATTTGCGAAACAAAAACATGAGTTTTAAGTAAAGGAACATATTCTCGCCCATGGGCCTGCCCATGGGCCTACCCATGGGCCTACCCATGGGCCAAACCTTTTTCTCGCCCATGGGCGAAATATTTCAATATCGCTATAAAATCGTTGAATTAAGTTAAAATGAGTTAAATTTTGTATCATGATACTTCAATAAATACATTTAATGTATTTGCGAAACAAAATCATGAGTTTTAAGTACAGGAACATATTCTCGCCCATGGGCCAAACCTTTTTCTCGCCCATGGGCGAAATATTTCAATATCGCTATAAAATCGTTGAATTAAGTTAAAATGAGTTAAATTTTGTATCATGATACTTCAATAAATACATTTAATGTATTTGCGAAACAAAATCATGAGTTTTAAGTACAGGAACATATTCTCGCCCATGGGCCAAACCTTTTTCTCGCCCATTGGCGAAATATTTCAATATCGCTATAAAATCGTTGAATTAAGTTAAAATGAGTTAAATTTTGTGTCATGATACTTCAATAAATACATTTAATGTATTTGCGAAACAAAATCATGAGTTTTAAGTACAGGAACATATTCTCGCCCATGGGCCAAACCTTTTTCTCGCCCATGGGCGAAATATTTCAATATCGCTATAAAATCGTTGAATTAAGTTAAAATGAGTTAAATTTTGTGTCATGATACTTCAATAAATACATTTAATGTATTTGCGAAACAAAATCATGAGTTTTAAGTACAGGAACATATTCTCGCCCATGGGCCAAACCTTTTTCTCGCCCATGGGCGAAATATTTCAATATCGCTATAAAATCGTTGAATTAAGTTAAAATGAGTTAAATTTTGTGTCATGATACTTAAATGAATACATTAAATGTATTTGCGAAACAAAAACATGAGTTTTAAGTAAAGGAACATATTCTCGCCCATGGGCCTGCCCATGGGCCTACCCATGGGCCAAACCTTTTTCTCGCCCATGGGCGAAATATATGTATTAAGGAACATATTCTCGCCCATGGGCCTGCCCATGGGCCTACCCATGGGCCACACTTCGCCCATGGGCAGGCCCATGGGCGACATAGTCTAAATATTGAGTTTTTAAACAATTTTTTTTTCATTTTTTCTTCCTTGGTATGTTCCCATGAAAACGGCATGTTTAATTTTGTAAATACCTTTAACCGAGACTGGGCAAAGAGCGTAGAGTTTCTGGACTTTTGGGTTTCCAGAATTAAAATGGGACGTGTTTTATGCAAAATTATAGCAAAATCATACAGCAGCCATAACATGTCATTAAACTCGAACCTGTTGATTCTACTTCCCGGAATCAGCTTGATGCTCCTGATTTCTCCATTACTTCCACGTGTGTAACCTTCGATGCAGGTGGTCTACCGGGGAGCATGGCCCCTGTACTGCTGACTGTGGGGGTGGCGTCCAGCGACGCACTGTCCAGTGTGTCCAGGATATCGGATCCGAGACGACCAAGACTATTCCCGACTACCGGTGCCCCGACCCTATTCCTATCTCAGAGCAGAGCTGTAATACCCAGTTCTGTCCAGCACAATGGCAGACAGGGAACTGGACTGAGGTAAGCAGTCACCCACAGACAATCCCTGCAATCACCACATTCTCATTTCACTCTGCAAGACCACCTTCACGTGAATGTTTGTGTTCTTAATGACTGTCAACGTGCCTTGACAATTTCAAGAGTGGATCCTGCATTTTTGAAAGGGAGGGGTCCAAAATATCAAAATCCTCACTTAGCTCTCTCAGATAATGTTACTGCCCACAACATACTACATTTGGTTTTCAAAACGGGGGTGGAGTGGGATGGGGTGGGGTGTCTGGACTTCCTAGTGTATCCTGACAAAACCTAAACGGAACACGTTTTTAAATGATGTAGCCTATGTCACTCTCTGCACCTCATCAGTTGATTTAAACATTAAGAAGGCTTTACGAGGCAAGCTGTGACAGTCAAGATTAAGAAGTCTGCACCAATATTTCACCGTTCTTGTCATACAGACTGCAGAGGGAGTCTGCCACACTCCCCAAGTAATGCTTGTGTTTCACTCAGGATATATTGTGACACCAGGACTGGAAGTGTCTATCTACAATGGAAGTCAGTATCTTTCACATGGGCGGATCCAGCATTTTTAAAAGGAAGGGATATGAAAAATTCTGTTGAAAATTGTTTTTAAAATAGGGATACTATAACGTCCTGCTGATTTCAGAAACTCACTTATCGTGAGGCCCTTGAGATAATTTTTCAAATTCTGTAAACATATAAGAACTTCCTGAACAGTGAAAGGCATGTTAAGATCATCTCATATTTCTGTGTTAGATAAAGCTGGATCCTCATCATATATATTGGTTATCAGAGATCTTAATCACAGTCAATGTGTTTATCAATACTGAGAAGACTTGTGTTTAATAGTGTGGGTTCTAGTTCTGGTGAGTGAACCACATGTGATATCTTGATGATGCATCAATGTTACCAGTCTTACCTTTGGTGTGTTGTTAATTCCACAGTGTACAGTGACGTGTGGACCAGGCGTCCAGACCCGACGAGCGTATTGTACCAAAGCTCCATTCCGGGGTCACAAGGTCATGGTTGCCGACACTGAGTGCATGGGTCCTCGTCCAATGACAACTCGAGAATGTCAAATAAGCGAATGCTTTCCAGGGGCATCTACATCACCTGTCATCAAGTCTGAGAACTACACCTTTATACAGTTCAAAAGGTCAAAACGGGTCAAGGTCACAGTTGGAGGTCGATTGGTTCTCCTTCCTGGCCAGTCTGTGACCGTCAGGTGTCCAGTTAAGAACTATCATCGGCGCCTTCTCTTCTGGAGCAAAGGTTTCAAGCTGATACCTATGGCTGGACGGGTGAGGACAACCTTTATGGGAAACCTGAAGATTAAGAGAGCCAATCCAAGTACCGATGCTGGCACCTACACTTGTATGGCTGGGCTGGAAAGTGCTGACATCATTATAGAGTTCCAGACAAAGTCTGCTGCTCAGAAGAAGGCAAAGGAGATGAAGAAATATTTAGGGGAGAAGGCAAAGTTACAGAATTTAGTCCTGAAGCCAGAATCGGACATTGTATCCGCAGCTCGTATTACTGACAATGGTTTAGTGAGCGATCCTCAATTGAATACATCCAAAAAGCTGGTGTTCACCACAGGCGAGTGGTCGCCTTGCTCTGTCACGTGCGGTTCTGGAAACCAGCGTCGTGACGTAATGTGTGCCCGCGTCACATACAAATATGTCAAAATCCTACCAGACAGAGAGTGTATAAAATGGGGATCAACCAAACCTGAGGCAGTGCGGAAATGTTCTCTGCAAGCTGATTGCCCCCTCTGGAAGTCTGCAAAATGGTCCAAGGTAAATCTGGTGTTACATCACAGATAATGTCACTTAAGAATACAGTTGCATGTTTAACGTGTATTATAACATTGACAGTCAAGTCAGCTATTCGTACAATGAGTAGATGTGTTTGGTTATCAATGGTAAATTCCTCTTATGGACTTACCCCAAGGGGATTCTAGGTTAGAATTGGTAACCAGCAACCTATGCTGATCGGGTGGTCAGGTTCGGGGACTTGGTTGATGGCATGTCATCATACCCCATCAGCGTAGATCATTGCTCACAATATTGATCACTGGATTGTCTTGTCCAGTCTTTACAGGTCGTTGTCATTTAGCTGGAATATTGCTGATAAGAAGTTATACAACAAATGCACGCACGTTATACATCAAACGCCACACGCACACTGGACAACAAACGCACACACGCACATTATGCAACAAATGAACACATACACTTAGAGACTTCAGCATGTATAGAAACTTTAACTGTGTCTTAGCCCTATACACCACACCAACCCCGTTCTTCAAATAATACAATATATGATATCACCATAACATGTAATGCACATAAATGTTCTTATGGTTCCACTGTGCATTTCATCGGAAGACTTCATGGATATCATGAAGTTAGTCAGGATGTCACTTGTCTATCATCTGGTTTACGTCTTCTGTCTTTTGTGTAAAGTTCCATTCCTTGCAGTGCTCAATCAACAACTGTATTCGAGACGGATTCGCCCAGAGAAAGCGGGCTGTGGACTGTATGTACAGTAACGGGACTGTAGCTCACCTGGAGGTGTGTCAGGCAGACGACAAGCCCGATCACAAGCAGGAGTGTGTCAAGCTGGACTGCATGTCCATGTGGCAGACGTCAGCATGGACTGAAGTGAGTCGCCAGCTGTTGTACCCAGTTACTGAAACATATATCACAATGCTCATCCTTAGCATGTTTCTTAAATATGTACCATATATATATACATGAATGATAGTGCGGCCAATCTCCCTTCTGATTTCGGACGATTCTACTCCCTGGTGGTATTCTGTAGCTATCGCATCTGTATGTTTAGTGTCAGCCCTTCTGTGCTAAGGAGGGTTTCAAGACTCGGATGCTGACCTGTGTGTGGAGGAAGACAAGGGCTCCAGCCTGGTCCACCTGCAAGAGGAAACCCCGACCATCCGTGAAGAAGCCATGTGCTCCAAGAAAGTGTCAGAGCAGTAAGTTCTGGTTAATAGTCATTGAACTGATTTCAAAATCTGATATACAATGTTTCGATAGACTTCACCTCAAGGGAGGTGAAATAGAATGCCTGCATCAAAAGGGCCGTAGCTGCTGAGAGAGCATATTATTTCACAACTAGGATCCATATCAATTCCGACCAAACATCATGTGTTAGTTGGAGCCCTGTACTAATATTTATTTGTTATTTCTATCCACAATTGTTGTTTCTTTTCATCAAAAGAAAATGTAGTATATGTCAAGTCTATGTTTTATATCATGCCTAGCAATATGCCAAAAGGTTGGTCAGATTGCTTAGAAAAAACAAGTCAAGAAAAAAGTGTCAAGAAAGGAATCGTTCAAGATATACCTTTAAAATATCTGTACATTTTTATCATTTTGGTCACTTTAGCAAAAGATATGGATCGCAAAATAAGAAGACAAGAAAAACAATTAACGATTTAACCTCCATCTCTTGATGTTGATAGCCTTCTCCCTGCTTGCAGATTGTCAGGACATGTCGCGGTACTGCAGCATTGTCGGCATGTTGAAGATGTGTCGTGTGAAAGACTTCCGTGAGAGGTGCTGCCACACGTGTCGCAGATACAACACAACCAAACCTAAACGGCATTCATCAGCAATTGAAACATTCTTCAATCTGGAAAATCAACAAATTGTCTAACTGTAGCGGATTTGAAAATTGCCACCGTCAAGCAAGTCGGTAATGATGGCAGGCATATTTTGCTATGATGTCACAGATTGCTTGGTACTGTCTTCATCTGTTTATTCCATGGACTATGAGGGATGTGCCATGTTTTCGTTAAGACAGGTTTGATGGACGACTTGTTCCAACTACCAGCAGGACAACATATGGTTCGTTGCCTGGCCTGTGCCCTCTCATACAGGATGACCCAGTGGGTGCAGGGATGTCATGACAATCTCTCCATCAAGTTCTGGTTCCTGAGGAGGATGGAACAGTGTATGTGGCGCTCAAACCAGAGCAGAATCCTGAATAACATATTCCGATTGTTTTAAGCAAACTTCTGGTAATGTTAGTAGAACATCACTTTGAAACTTAACAGGATCTTTTTGACACAATAAGTGGGCATACTTTAAACATTGGTAATGTTTCACCATTACAACACAGTCCTGGTCAGTACCTATGGTACCTATTCCTGGTAAAGCCTTGTAATGAAGTACATTCAAACTACCCATGTCAACACCATCTTAACACGAAATGTACAAGTTTTATTTCAATCAATATGTTACTCACCTTCATCTGTTGGTGCAGGCATACTGCCTTTAGCTTTCAATGAAAACATTCTGCTCTCTCCACACTGTGTCTGTTAGAATGTAGAGGTTGCAACCCTGAACAATTGGGTTTCAGTGGCTGTTATGGCGAGTTTTCTATTTAAACATATTTTATTTTGTGAAGGTCGATTGTTAAATGTCAACTTAAAAACATAATTTCCAATGTAAATAACACCTAAAGTAACCTTTTCTCCATTCCACAGATCACTTAAATGCCTACTATCAAACCGAAGCAATGTATTTGTGTCTTTGCAATCTAGTCCTATCATACCATCATATCGGCACATCTCAACTATGGCAGCTCCCCGGGACCCAACAGTATTACAGGATAAGCCTCCAAACAACACCATATTTTACTGACCACTTTTTCAGGTTTTTGAATGTTACATGTTTTTTTCTCAATGCACTGCAATGCATTTAAATGTGTTATTGTTATATGTTGTATTTCATTGAAAGTATTTTGAAATAATTCAAGAGCGGCTATAACTTCCAAGCAAGTTGCAACAGTGGTAATCAAATACCGGTACATTTATTTTGAAGTGATATTTGCTGATCACCTTTTAGTTGACTCAAGTGGGTGACAGGTCTTGTGCAAGCAACAGGACTAACATTGTACAACTAGCTCCATGGACTTACTCCTACAACAGCGCTATTGGAAGACTTGCTTACGGACTATCAGGAATCCATTTAGATTGGTTATTTCATCATTTGTGTCTTCATTTCGTCATCCATTTATGATTCTCTTCAAATGTTATAGACACCTAAAGCAAAAATAATTGGAAATTTGAGTTATTATTTTATTCTTGGTAATATTTACCGGCTTCCTTAACAGAGAACATTCTTTAGATGATGAACCTTCTTGCTATATATTTGTCTCTTCACTCGGAATGCTGCTGGAGGCTATTTCTTTGTCGAATCCTCACAAATGATAATATCTGGAACTGAAATGTTCACAAAGCTTGTTTAAGAGTAAAACACAGTTGGTGTCATTTTCATCCTGCAGTGTCAACGTATGTCAGTCTGTGTGGACATGTTACTTCTGTGGTTGTCTGAATGCTAGCATTGGATAGAGGGGTGCTCTTGACATCATGAAGTATCTCCTGATACGTAAGATAAAAGTTTAGGAGTCCCCACCATGCCTGAGTTTAGTTTGGCCAGTTTGTGTTAGGCAGAAGAACATATAGGGCCGAGGGCAGTTGGTGGTCAAGAACTAGTGAATGATTTCATTTAGAAGCTCTGACAGAAACATGAAATACATATGTAGTACAGGTATAAACACTTACCTAGAACACTGGTGTATATATTTTCTCCCATGGAGACAAACAAGCAAGTGCCATGTCGTCATGACAACCCAATACAATGTAGTCCCAAGCTGGAGCTATGCTCTCTGCTGTATGTGTGTAGTGATAAGTCTGGTGTAGTCAAGAGCAGTGTACCTACTATTTATTTTTGTATATACATATTATATTCACTTAGGATTGTGTACATAATGTGACCACTTTTGTCGGAAATTAAAGCCAAAATATTTACTTATATTGGTGTTTGTTTTGTTGTGATGTTTTCAAGGAGCAGGAGCGGAATGTCATGTTGTTCCATTTCATAAAAGTTAGATTTTAGGTGGGAAATTCTAAATAATGAATGCCCTGGCTTATGTGAAGCTACTGTATGTTAAATAAAAGGTGAATCTCAACATCGGGTCAGCTAAAATAAAGATTCATAAGAATATAAGTTGTAGCAGTATCATGTAGCATGGGGATTTATGCGTACTGTGTTTGGTTTTATATCACAATCAGAGTGATCCTGCTGCAAAGAATTTATCTTACCAATCTGCCAGTTAAGCCGCCATTGCAAAAAAATCAAAACAAATTCAAAATGGATAGAAAACAGCTGTTCGGTTGAGCTGAGGTTAACTTATACAATGGCACATGACTTTCATTGACTCAGAAAAAGCGTGCGGTCTTTCGCTTCGAAGCGTGTTATAAGGGATTTATTCTTCCTCTCTAAGAATACTACCCCTATTACATCTACAGAATGATTAACAATGATAACTATTGTTCGATTATTCTTGCGTATCCTCTGTAGTATAGGTCTTCAGTAACCCATGCTTGCCGTAAAAGGCAACTATGCTTGTCGTAAGAGGCGACTAACGGGATCGGGTGGTCAGACTCGCTGACTTGGCTGATGCATGTCATCGATCCCAATTGTGTGGATCGATGCTCATGATATCAATCACTGGATTCCCTGGTCCTGACTCGATTATATACAGAGCTGTCATATAGATGAAATATTGCTGAGTGCGGCGTTAAACAACAATCAAACTAACATCTTTGCAAGTATACACCAGAGGGACCCTGTGGAATCTGCCTCTAGTAAACCCCTGTGTGATTGACAGTTATCTCTTCTGGAAAAAAATTATTCACTGATTCTAATCCCGACTCAAGATAATTTCTTTTGAAATTCCCCCTGAGGACTTGAAAATCAGAATGTATCAAGAATCAGTCAAATATGTGATACCTTCACTAGAATTACCGTTATATTTTGAGGATATTTAGTAATAAAGATGTCATTTCTGGTCTATTTCTACCAAATGACTTAAATTCTTGTTAAATTTGGATTTGTGACACTAATACCGGTGCTGACGTGACTCCCGGTTGTGACGTCACTTCTGGTTTGTCACTTCCCTTTTATTGGATAATGACATCTCTTATGGTCTATTTCTTCCAAAGACATCATTTGCTGATTAGATGGACCTTAAACTGCTATTTCTGGTGCTGACGTCACTTCCGGTTATAGTCTTATTCCCGGTGCAGACGCCACTTCCGGTTATAACTCACTTCCAGTCACTGGAGGCAGTTGATACTCAAGGTGCTCCAAATCCATCCTACACCTAATGGACAGGATACTCAAGGGTGTACTCACCCTCTGATGCCGCTGGTGTCGATCCGACTCTTGATTGATTCTTGGCTACAAAATCTCGGAGGGATCTTAGAGTTATTAAAGTCCAAGGCATAGAGCTCTGAAACTCTTGCTGCTATTGCCATGGCATGAGATTGAGAGTCTGTCATGTTTAAGTACAGAGTGAAGAGCCGATCTGTAACCTTCTATCATCCCATGTTGGAATTTATTGTACTGACGTAGATGTAGTACAAAATCCGCTAAAACAGGGATGGATATAGCATTTCTTATAATCTCTTGTCTTCTCCACTGGCCGAACTTGTCCCATCTGTTGTCATATATAAGGGAGGATGGAGGTCTCCATGATCTTGCCACAGCTCCCAAGGCAAGCTCAGAGTATCCAGATGTCTGCATTTTCTGCGTGATAATTTCCAGGCAGATGGATGTAGGCTGGGCTGATCGTGGAAAATGCTAGACATGGGCTGTTGTAACAGATCTCGATGGAGAGGTAACTGGATACGTTCTTCCATTAGTAGACTTAGTAATCTGGGGAACCACGCTCTGCTGGGCCAGGTTGGTGCTATCAGGATTATCATACAATCCGTCTCCTCCATCTTGTGGATGACTTTGTCTAGGAGAGACCATGGTGGGAATGCGAATGCAAATAGACTCGTCCAATCCAACGATAGCGCATCGATCTGGTTGCCACTATTCTCCCCTGGCCGGAAAGGCTGTCGGCAAGAATGTATGTTCAGTTTCGCGGGTATATGGCAATTGATGGAGTCTGCCAAGGCAAACAATCATGTAGTCTCAGGTCATCAGGGAGCTGGATCTGGTTCCCCCTTGTTTCTGGATGTAAGCCACTACTGCGGTGTTGTCTGTGGCTATGAGGTAGGACGATTTTGAGAGATGTATCTTCCATGCCAGGATGGCGTAATAGATGGCCTTCATTTCCTTGCGGATGATATGAAGGTTCTTCTCTCCGGTGCTCCAAGATCTCTGTACCGTGAGATCGTCCATATGGGCACCCCATCTCGAATCTGACGTGTCTGTGAATAGATTGTGTTCAGGTGTCTGAGATGTCAGAGGGATGCCGCTCATCACATGCTCTCTAGGAGTCCACCAATGCAGGTCTCTTGGGAGGTAACTGAGTCTTGAACTCTAGGGTGTGGGATCGTAGTGAATTGATCCATTTCTGTAGAGGACGTAAAATCAATTTTGTAGATCCAGCTGATGAGCCAATCTCCTGCCTTCAACGTTGACCGCAAATTCCGTACGGATTCCATCTGGGACTTTGGTGGAGGTACCAGGAATTTCTTGTTGAGGATCTTTAGGTCGATTATCACTCCCATATCGGTCGTATTTGGTTTTGTTGGTCTCCGAATGACTCGCTTCTTTAGTAGCTTCCTGACGGTCAGATCTGCTGCTGTATACAGTCGTAGTGGGTGGCAAGGAAATCAGAATCTGTATTCACCTCTGCCCCCAAGATCTGCCCCGTCAATGGGATACTCGTTTCTTGTAGTCGGACTGATGAAAAGATTCCTGAGAAGATTGGCGCTTGTTGTATCCCCAACTTGGTTGGAACGAATCCTTCCCGGAGGGGACAAACTTCTTCTTAGGAGGCTGTTTATATCACGAGTCCTTCTGATCACAGGAACACTTCAGGGGATGGGGAGATACATGTGCCTTGGCAGCTAGGCTGATAGTTGATGCTTGGAATCGTTACGTTGTATCTTGTCTGACTTCATATATGATATGTCCCAATTTGCCGTTGAATGTCTTGGGAGCAGAAATTGGTTGTAACATTATCAACTTCTTGGTTTGGCTGGAAACAACTCTTGAACGAATCTGTTCTAGAAGTTGTTGACGCTGAACCCAGAGTAGCTGTGAAGACATCCAGACTTGGGTGGAGAGTAAGTCTTCCTGCATTCTGACTATAGTGACTAGTAGGCTGTGGATGAGTTCGACTTGATCTGTCCTAATAGTAATAGGAGTCTCTCCTGTTATGCCTTCATCCGATGTCTGTAATGGTGGAATGATGTGTCTGATTCTGGCGACAAACCAGTGGATATAAGCGCCAATGTCCACTGAATATCTGGACACCGAGGACAGATCCTTAATCCGTGAAGCAGGTAACATGACATTAGTAGTTGGGTTGCGTACTAGCTTCATAAAGTCTTTGTCCAAATTTTGATGATCTAGAAGTGGAGTATCATGAGTTTTATATAACTTCCCCTTCAATGGCGGTAAGGGTTGTCGTTCATCATGTCTGAGCTTGATTAGACTTTCCGACATCTGGTCTACTACCTTCGACATCTGGTCTACTGCCTGCTAAGGCAATGTCGACGTCTGATGGATGTGTTGAGATGATGTTGGAGCATGACATCCCCCATATTCCATATATGGTCTTGCGGTACCCTGCTGGGACCCAAGCGAAGATTTAGCTGACTGTGTATCACGGCAGGGGAAAGCTTGCGAGCTAATACCTGGCTGGTCGGACGGTTGACGGGGGACTGTCCGTACGGCTGATCGGTTGGCTGGACAGCTAGCTGGACGGTTGGCTGGTCAGTTGGCTGGTCGATATGGTCGGTTGGGGTAGGCCCTACGACCGTGTGTGTTGAAAAGACAGATCAATGTCCCCCATGCGGTCTCTTGACCGGGGAACTCTTCTTTGCCAGAGCTGTCTGTCCACTCCATATCTTCGTTTAAGGCGGAGAACCGAGTCTCAAACATGGCCTTCATCATTTCCTGCTGTTGCTTGAATAGTCGTTGTATCAGACTCATGGAGAGAGCAGAAGATGATTGTTCTGCCGGAGTAGGAGTAGGAGGTGTCAGTTGCCGTGATGACTTCAACTTTTCTCTTAGCCACTTCATGCCTCTTAGCCTTAGTTACAGCCTCACTTAATTTAAAGAAGGCTTTCTGAGATGTTTTTGCGCACTGCTTGTATCTTGCCTTCTCTGTGCACATCATCTCTCTGCACCTCCAGGAGTTACCATGAGGATCTCCTGTGGTGATAAACCGACCATACTTCTTGTAACCGGGAGTAGAGGGAGACTCCATTACGACCTCACAACGCACCTCACACAAGCTTATACTCACTCGATCGGCACTCCAGTTAACAGCTATTAATATTTACTTGCTGTGTCTGTTTTATAGAAAACTATTAGAATAATCTTAGATTAATGTGACTAATACCAAGTGCTAGATCGTTACAACGTTATAACATTAGGCGTTGACTCTAGCACACACAGGAATAAAAGTGAGATTCTGAAAATTTTATTAGTGTGACTGAAGCCAAAATACAGGATTTATGGCAAAGGTGTAATAGAGGTAGAGGATTCGCAAGAATTGTGTATTATCCTCCCAGGCGGGATACATAGTAATTCATCAAGATCGTGTGAAACCAATCAGATCTCGTCATTCTGACAAGGAGGTAAGATAATAGTGTTTAATCCATCTCCACACATAATAAAGGTGATACAAATAGAGTCTATATATGAGAGGTCTTCATTGAAGATTGACATATTCTGCATACACACATGGTTGGTGCGTTGTACACATTAGTGTATGAGACTCACTTTGTGGTTTGTATGTGGATGAAACACAGAAAATGCTCCAACATTACCACATTAAGCAT